GAGAAAAGAGGAACATCGAAGGTAGAGTTGGTAAAGAAGGAAGGAGCAACACTAGGACTAATTATCACAGGTATGTTGATCTTTGACCTGGTGTGACCTGGTGGTTAGGAACTCGACTTGCAATCTGCAGTCGTGGGATCGAAACCCCTCACTAAACATGCTTGCTCATTCAGCCGTGGGGGAGTTATAATGTAGTGGTCAGTCCATAATTTTGAAATGATAGACTAGAGGGAAAGCAGCTAGTAGACAGTACGCACTGCCAACTCTTGGGCCACTCTTATCAGACTGAATAGTGGGATTTAACCGTCACTCTTATAATGCGTCGGGTTACGTCCACAAAATGCACAGCACGAGTTTTTGTGGTGGTTATGGGACATTTATCTCCACAGTCTGGCAGGCCAACCAACAGACACACACAGATTGACAAAGAGAAGACGTTAATAAATATTGCTACCGGTATAGTTAAATAAGCCTACTCACTGTTTTTATTATATTTGTTTAAACAGCAGTACGTATTTCACGGCCACAATAAAATACTCTTTTATTGACGCTTATTTCATTTGCTTTTTTAATTTGACAACTAAATGGTATTTCGATCAGATTCAAACGCTTTTTCTACTTTTTAAAAACTAATTCATATAAAACAGTCATTGGGAAATGTTATTGTTATTTTCGCGCAAAACAACAAAATGGGCTATCTGCATTCTGTCTACCACGGGGAATCGAACCCAGGATTTTAGAAATGTAAGTGCATAAGCTTACAGCTAACCCACCGAGAGACCATTGGGAAATAATTTTAGTGAGAACTAAACACTGTTTGTAAAGGTTATATAAATATATATGTATGTGTTTATAAATCGCCAATATTGTCAGAGCAAAACACACATTTTAATTAAGCACGATTCAACTGTTAGTTGAAAACCATTTAGTGCCTGGAAACTTTGTGAAACATTTTTTCACAACAATAACGTGGAAAATGAAGCAATTTGTTTTGTCGATGTACGAGAATAATGCGCTCTATTTTCTTAACGTTCCTTGGACCGAAACATTAACAAGGCGACGAACGGAGATGCAGCGATCAGGGATTGTTCTTGGGAATGTAAAAATTGGACAGACATCAGTACCACCGGAAATAACGGGAGTAAACCAGACGTTGGTGATAAACGAGTCACCTGTTTCACTCGCTTTAACAATGTGTGCATTCTGACCAAAGATGAACGACGAATGACACGTTCTAGTATCACATCTATCATCCTAATGCACATATCTTCCCGTCAGTCAGGGGCATCTTGTTAACCTCGTGCGTTGTTGTTCTAAGTTTGGACAAAACTTGGAAAGGGGTTAACTTCTTGGTACTGCAGTTCTAGTTTCTGTTTTGACGTTTCCAGCTCCAGATGGGCTCACGACATAGCTGGAGTCCTCTATTTTAGGAGGATTGTTCTTGAAACTGTATTATTTTTAAATCAAATTAATGGTAATTATATAATATCCCATTAGTGTTATTTATTTTCAAATAACATCAGTTCTCTCATATTTTACCAGTAAAATTATCATTACAACCTTTTGTTGAGAAACTAATTTGTTCATGATTTTTTAATGCATTTTTTGTAGAAAATAATTTTTGAAATGTTTATTGAATATCAAACCACCAATAAACGTCTGTTTGAACTTTGCATTACTAACAGTTTCCAGTACGTGAAGAGTGCCTCAGCGGTAAGTGTATAGGCTTATAACGCTAAAAACCAGGTTTCGATAATCGTGATGGGAATAGCATAGATAGTCTATTGTTTAGCTTTGCACATAACAACGATATGTAGAGCTAATGGATTTGGATTGTCGTTACATATGGCTGAACTATAAGTAACGTTTTTCACCTGTTCAGAAAGCAGGTTTACAATACAAACGATGCATGTGTAAGTACAACAGCTTTTTACATAAGCCGTCGTGCTTTCATTGAAAATCAAGTGTTCTTTATTCTTTCAATTACCAATCAGTATTTTGTTGTTAATAAAAACGAATTCTCAGAACGGACGAGCTAATTGTGTAAGATCTTGTCGTTCGCCATAATGATATTACTGTAGAAACACAATAAACCTCTTGGGGTATTCATGGCCTCGTTATTAAAGTACATTGTACAGGACAAATAGGATAATTAATTTAGCACCAGGACTCCAGTGAGGCTAAACCTGCTGGACATCAGAGAGGCTAGAGCTAGCAAACTTCAAATAAAAAAACTTGTTATTTTTAAAGAGGATTCCACTTCGCATGTTCCGTTTGTTTGATCGAAACTGTTCTATAACTGTCAACAGAAGAAATTTCTAACTGAATATAAAATAAAGGAGCCAATCCCAATCCCCAGACATTTTATTAATAACACTTGGGTGTTGAGTTTTCCATATCTTGGAAATGTATGTACATTTCAGAGTTTATCCAAACGTGTAAAATGTAACTGTTTTTAGAATATTTGTTTCGAAGAAAACAGTTAAAATTGTTTCTTGGGCATTACTGCTAAAAGCGGTATTGAAGTTACTTGTACACACTTTTATCCGAAGTTAAAAATTGTATCGATATTCTTCACGCTCAGTTTCAAAGTCATTGTTACTGAATCTTATTGTTTGTGACCTCCCAGTTAATTCTGATTAGAGTTACCAAGGTATTATAACAGCTTCTTCATTCTTATGTTGAAGCTGTAATTATCAATTTCATCGGGGTAATATTTGCTGAAAGATTCTGGAACATTATCCTAGTTTTTCCAATCCGGTCTCCCGTTATTTGATATCTTATTTAGATACAAAAAGAAATGTAAAGTTTTTACTAAAATGATCATCTTAAAGAACGTGACTGATAATGTAAGACATTATACACAATAGCAGAAATATCCTCCCTCCGGGCAGGTATAACTGCTAGTTCCCGTGGAAGGCTATTGGGTATGCGGCCTTTTCTGGAATTATCTGACAGTTCTACAACAATGTATTCATACTTGACATTCAATAATGTTCACCAAGCACGAGAAAAAATGATGTTATTGAAATTTTAGTTTAAAAATGAGCTGTCATCACAGAGTAGATTTTATTGAAGTATTTCTTTGTAGACG